GTCTTAGCGTTAACATTCTCTCGCTAGGCAAAAGCTCCCAGGGTCTGGGGAACGAAAGGGCTGCAGCACAGGGCCTAGCCTCACCTGCACCTCAGCATTGCTGGTGCCCACAGCCAGGTAGTTGCCCTCTTTGATCCAGGACACAGAAGACACATAGTCCCCAGACTGCTCCATCTGTAGCAGCTGCAGGATGTCACCTGAGCTGGCACTCCACAAATATACACTGTTGTCCAACGCCACAGCCAGCACATTCCCAGAGCTCCAGTCCACCAGGTTCAGGTCTGCCAGAGGAGTGAAGGGGAGAACATAAGCTTCCTTGTCTGTCTGGTCCCCAGAGCCCCTTTTTGCACTCACCCGGCAAGGAACAGGCTGCACTTACAATAGTCGTTACGGATTTCAGGGGCATCCAAGATCCGGTCTGGTAGGGAAGGAATGTACCGGCAGGTCTTCCTGCTGGAGCCAGGCGTGGCCTTCTGGCTATACAGTACTTTCAGTCTATTCTGGTAACCTGTGGCAATGGAGTAAGTCTAGACACTGGGAGAACTGACACCTCCGCTGCCCCTAGCCTGGAAGGCCAGACAAGCACTTCCCTCCCCTCAGTCTTAGGTGTGAAAAGTAGACAGGCATCTCCCCTCAGCCCCGGGGGATGGGCTGAAAGCTCCCTCTAAAAACCATGGATTTCAGGTCTTACCCTCTGGAACTTTTTGCGGTTTTCCACTGAGCCGAAGGATCTTGGCTTCCTCCACATCAAAACCGTTCAGGTTCAAAGCCCAGGCTTTCTGATGTTCCTGACACATACGGTGGTGGTGAGACAGGATGCCATAATGCAAAGTACACAGATAGGTCCTCTAAGACACATACCTTCTTGGTGGGCGTCTGGCTGTTTTCCGCCTGGTTCTCCTTGCTCAGGAGGAAGCTGGCAACCTCCATCTGGGAAGCACTGCGATGGGGGATATAGCGGTCACCACCAGGTTTGCTGGGAGTGGTCTGAACTTTGGAGCTGGATTTGCCTAGGGCGGGAAAAGGGAAGCCAAACAGTCTCACCAGGTTTCCGAAAAGGGAAACGTAGGTTACTCTTTTTTCCCTCCGCGCGTCCCACCGCACCCCACTCACCAGGAGTTCGGCCGGGGGTCCTGCCGGCACTATGGGATCGATTGGCGGCCCGCATGGGTGAGGGGGCCGGCCCCGCGGTTTCCTTAGCTTTGCGCTGCCAGCGCGCAGGGGGTGCATTGGGGATGGGTGTGTCGAGCTGCAGCAGCGAGTGCAGGTCACTATCGAACACGAACTGCGCCATTGCGGCGAAGCGTCTGGAGGGGGAGGGGTCCTTGGAGTGGGTGCGGGCGAGCCCTGGAGAAAGACAGGCGACCGTAGTCTGGGAAGGCCGGCCACACGGCCAAGATCACCACGGCCGCAGCCCCACTTTAGCTGGGCTAAGCCGCCTCTCACCGTCAGGTCGGAGACGATTAAGGTACCGGACCGACTTCAGAAGTGTGGGACTACGCTTCTTAAAGTCTCCGCTCCGAGCACTCATTGGCTCCTTCAAAACCCAACCGTCGCAACCGTCACCTTCTCCCATTGGCCTCTATGGCACTGGGGGCGGGCCTTCCGGGGCAAGTCAGATCTCACGAGAGTCCCGCCGTGGAGTGTGATTTGAAGGGTGAGAGACAAACTAAAGGTAGGTCCCTGGGAACTTGTCTGAAAGCCAGATGGGAGGAGCCGGGAGCGTCTGGAGGCGGGGCTTGCGCTGTCTCCGCCTTCCCGGTTCGCTTCCATTCATTCTTCAGATTCCTCTCACCCGCCCTTCACATTTAAACTGCAATTGGATTGTATTCTATTTATGCAACCGAAGTGCAGAACTCCATGGAGCGACCTAAAGCATTTGAGCCCTTTAGAGAAGGGAAAGGCAGCGGGCGGCCTCTCGGCCGCCGGACAAGGGTAGGACGGGGGAAATACTTGAGAAATTTAGGAAGCCAGAACTAGTTAGGGTGCATCTTCTGTTTGTTTGGTGCCTGTAGGAACACTGCTAGGAAAGAAAGTAGTACATGTGTTTGTTTAAAAAAATTGTTCTGTTTGTTGTTTTACAAGCAAGGAAAATGAGTCTGAAATAGGGGTGAATTCCTTATATTCAAGAAAAAGGATCGGGATACAGACCTACCAATCTGGAAGATAAGTCTGGACTGCCCTGAGGGAGACAGTGCGGCTCACCCTTTTGGGGTTCCGAGGTGTCAGGAACTTTAGAGATCCACTAGTTTGATCTGCGGGGGGTGCACCCTCCGCCTCTTGGCAACATACCCATATTTTACAGGTAAAGAATTGGAGGCCCAGAAAAGAGATTTGCCCAAGATCACACGAATTGGTGGGAATCCAGGTCTGAAACCCATTCAACCCCAGTGCTCTAAAAATGACTTGAATGAACTGTATGAAGCAGCAATAAAAATAATAATGATGATGGGTACCATTTATTGGTCACCTGCTAACTACTGTGTATAAACAGTTTACATACATAATTGAGTTTAATCCTTAGCACCATAAGGCAGGTACTCTATTATTCCCTTTTCTAGAGAAAGAAACTGGCTCAGAAAAAGGTTAGAAACTTGTCCAAAGGCAAACAGCCAATAATAGTAGTGGAGTGAACTCTGATGACTCAGAGAAAAATCTGGATCTCTTAGGCCAAATTTCACGTTATTATCTTTGATTTTGAAGCATTTATGTTCTCTGTTTTCATTTACCTCAGAAAACAAGGAGTTGGATGCCCCGGGTTTGTAAATGGGGAGTGCCATTTACTTAGAAAATATAGTCTAGAGTCAGGCTAGTCCCAGCCTTAAATGTTAAGCTAAGGAGTTTGGACTTGATCTGCTAGGCATTGTGGAATTAGTGCAAGTTTCTGTGTAGGCATGGGCTGAACCAAACGCATCTGAGGGCAGGACATGGCTAGCAGTTTTTAGCTTCTGGAGTAAGGTTAAGTGCAGAGAAAAAGGAGGATAGAGTATATAAGCATACAACAGCAGGGAATTCATATATTTTAAAATAAAGGAATTAAAGAAGCCAGATTATATTGACATGGACCTTGAAGTGGGAGGAATTCTGATATGATGCAAAATAGTTAAGTAGAGTGATGTTAGATTTGGCTATTGAGAAATCAAGCAATCATCAGTGACCTTGGAGAGAGTACAATCAGGAGAGTGGATGCTAGGGTTCCATTTGGAAGGTTCGTAGAAAGAAGGGTAGGGAGAATGTGGAGGCAGTAAGCACAGGCTACTTGTACGAGAAATCTGACAGTGACCAAGGGGCAGCACATGAGAGCTTGAGGGAATACTAGCATCAAGAGGCCTATGTCTATTTGAAGGTGGAGGCAAAAGTCAGGGGAGGTGAAAGAGGACAGAACAAGGGAACCAGGAAGAAATGGGATAGAAACAGGGAGCTTTACCAGTCTAGGAAAGAAAGATCACTTCCTCTTGGGCAGAGGGAAGGAGAACAAGGTGTTTGAGATGGATAGTTAGAGGCTGAGCAGCTGGTTAGATGGGGGAACTCCCACCTGAAGGACTTTAATCTAGGGAAGCAAAGGGCATAGAAGGATAAAATACAGGTGATATTCAGGGGGTGGCAAAACTCAGTTGGGAAAATAATGAAAGAGTGAGATATCAGTAAACACTGAGCAGTCACTATGTGCTTGGCGTTGTGTTAACACTTTTAATCCTCACATTGGAAGAAATCGTGGAATAGAAACAAATCATGGCATAGAAAGAAATCAGGTTCTGAAACACCAACGATTTAGAAGTGAGGAGTGAGATTAATAGAAAGATCAATCTGGAGGCAACATACAGGTTGAGAGTGGAGAGATACTAAGAGAGGCCAGAGGAGAGATATTAACCAGAAGGCTGTATAGATCAGTGGAGATAGAGAAGAGGATATAGAATTTAGGAATTAAAAGTGATCAGGACATGATGGCCGAGTGGGGGTAAAGGTGAGAGGTTCAGCAATTTGGGCTCAATCCCTAGAAGTAAAGTTGGAGCCTTGAACATGTCTAGGGGAAGGAATGATGGAAAATAAGTATACTGGATGTCATCCATTCAGCCCATCCAGACCCACTCTTCATCCTTCTCCCCCTGCCCTGTGCCCACGAGGCCAATTCATAGCCCATATCAATGGATTCCCTTGGGCTCTGGTTTCTGTTTGAGTTCCACCAATGGGAGGATATTATGGACTGAATTGTGACCTACCCCCCAAATTCATGTTGAATTCCTAAGCCCCAGTACTTCAGAGTGGGACCTTATTTGGAAACAGGGACATTGCAGATGTAATTAGTGAGGATGAGGTAATTTGGGTGGGCCCTAACCCAGTATGTCTGGTTTCCTTGTAAAATGGGGAAATTTAGGCACAGACACACACAGGGAGCATGCCATGGGAAGATGAAGGCAGAGATAAGGGTGATGTTTCTACCAAGCCAAGGTCCACCAGTGATTGCCAGGAAACCACCAGGAGCTAGGAGAGAGGCACGGAACAGATTCTCACGGCACTCAGAAGGAACAACCCTGCTGACACCTTGGATTCCTAGCCTCCAGGACTTTGAGACAATACGTTTGTGTTGTTTGAGCCACCCGGTTTGTGGTACTTTGTTACACCAGCCCTAGCAAGCCAAGACAGAGATCAGAGGATGGGAGAAGAGTGAACTTGAGCTATTTATTCCCCTGGCTCCCTCCCTGCCATGTCCCCACAGGCTGACAGTATCTCTCTATCTAAGGCCACAGCTGCTGCCAGGTGGCCCTCTCTCACAGCCACTCTCCCCAGATCTAATAGGCACTCTCTCCCCTTATCCTTTGATGCCGAGGGATGGAACCAGCTCCCAGCTGTTGTTAGCCCTGGGGCACTGTGGTATTCCTTGATGGTTTTCTTAAGTCTTGCCTCATTTTTATAAACATTCCCTTTATTAAACTCTCATCAGTATACCCAGTTTGGTGTGCCATTTATTTCTGCCAAGACCCTGACTGATACAGTGGGTATGTTGGGAGCCAGAAAAAAAAAACACCCCCAAACAAAAACATATTTGAGAATTTAAAAGGGTCTGGGGAATGCGCAGTCAGAATAGCCTAAGTACATTTACTGCTGAGTATAAGTAAATGGCTTAGAGGATGAGGGAAGTTGGCATAGGATTAAGGTAGTGGTGTCCAGAATGATTTCATTCATTTAGAAAACATTTATTGAAGGCTTACTGGCACTCACTAAGTGCTACTTTAGGTGCTGGTGGGGTGGGGGGGAAACAAGTCAGTCAAAGCCCTCGCCCTCAGTGAGCTCACAATCTAATAGTGGGAGACAGACAGGTAAACTGTTATTTACATAAAGCACCACAGGTGCTGTTGCAGAAGCCTGGGCTGGAGACTAGAACTGTGGAATGGACAGCACAGAGTAAAAGCAATGAGGAGGGATAGGATTGGGGACTGTTAAGAGTGGACTCTTGAGGGACTGCAATAATTAAGGAGTGGAAAAGACACCAGGATAAGAGAACAGTAAAGAATAAGTATGACCATTCGGATATACTAAACACCGTGTCCTAGGTGCTCTGGTTTACCTAGATTACCTCACTTAACCCTCTTCACAACTCTCTATAGGGTTCTGTTACCCCTGTTGTATAGATGAGAAATTATAGCTCAAAAATTTTATTTACCTGAAGCTAGTAAGCGGGATGACAGAAATGGAACTTTGTGCTGATTACAGAGTTTACGCTCTTAACCACTGGAGGGGCAAAGCCAGGAGAGACCGTGATGCTACGGAAACCAAGGCAGGAGAAAATTTAAAGGAGAAACAAGTAGTCACCATAACAAACGCCACAGAGAGATCAAATAAATGAAGGGTTAACAAGAGTCTATTGGATCTTGCAATTAGAAAGGTTGAAGTGAACTTTGCCTCAGCAGTTTCATTAGCAAAGTGGTAGGAGAACTAATTAAAGGAGTCCAAAGAACAAATGAGAAGTGGGGAAGTGAAGACTTCTTTTCAGGGAGTATGGCATTAAAGATGAGAGAGAAAGAAGGTGGAAGTTAGAATGTAGTCAAACAAATGAGCCTCGCCCGAGGAAAGAGGGTCCTGGGTCAGTGCTGCCAGATCAGTGTTGTGAAGCCCAGCTCTGAGGCTCAACAAGGGGATTGGAAGTGAGGTCTGAGATGTATATGGTGTCGGGGTGGGCGAGGTGGGTTGAGAGGGTGGGAAGAAAGGTCTAGAGGGTTTGGATCTGTCCAGGGTACTGGGAGTGAGGGGCCTGCCAACAGGTCAGTGGTAAGTAGGAATGGTTAGCAATGTGAGTGGTGCAGTAGGACCCTGACTCAGCCATGGGTGGGCACACAGACAGGGGCATGGTCCCCGGGCAAGAGGGCTGCAATCCACGGTAGTCCACCTGGGCCTGGGAAGAACACAGGGGCAAGGGAGTCTTCTCTGAAGACTTAGGTAGAATTTCAAGGAGGCTGGGTTCCACTTCCTCGCAGGCATCTGAGACTGCAGCCTTGGGCTGGGAGAGACGGGAGGGAAAGGGGTCTGGATTAGCAGGTCCCGTGGGGGGAAGACCCAGACTGCATAGGAAGGAAGATCTGGCTGTGGGTGGGACCCAGGGGGAGGAAATGCTGGTGGGTAATGGCCTTGGAAGAGACGTGTTGTGTGGGCAAGGATCGAGCTCCAGGGAGGACTAGTGGCGGGTAGTAGGGAGGGGAGTGCTCTCACCGGACTCAGGGCTGCAGCATCCCTAAGGTACTGGCCCAGGACCCGGTGCAGGTCCGGGAGTGAAGGCCACAGGGCATGCCTCAGGCTCCTTGGGGAGAAGGAAGAGAAGGAGATTGAGTCAAGAGAGTGCGTTGGGAGGGAGGAGGAGAACAGTGAGGTGGGCAGTGAGGAGGGCATTGAGGTGGCTGAGTAGAGCCTGGAAGGGTAATCGTGTAGTCAAGGTAATAACGTAAGAGCTTAAGTGCAAACTGAACCTCAGGTGGGGGAGAGAAGTTAGTGGAGGGGAGGGTCAAAAAAAGGAGCAGTACAGAGTATCCTCAGACAGTCTGCATCAGAGCCTTTGCCCTTTCTTTTCTCTCCGTCTGGAACACTCAGGTTATGCCCTCGCTTCATTTAGGTCTCTGCTCAAGTACCATCCTGACAGAGAGGTCTTCCCTGACTGCCCTGTCTAGAATAGCACCACCTCCCTTCCCCATCACACTATCTCCTGCTCTGCTTTATTTTTCTTTATAACACTTGACTTATTGTTTATTTGTTGTTCTAATATATATTTGTTTTTTGTCTGTCTCTCCCCACTAGAATGTAGTTCCATGAGAGCCGAAAGTTTGTCTATTCACTCTGTCCTGTATCTCCAGGGTGTAGAACAGTGTGTGGCCCATTATAGGTGCTCAAGAACTTAGCTCAATGAAAGAATGAAGAGAGCCAGTGGGGCCTATTGTTAAGTTACATGGGAAAGTGAGTCATCAGGGAAGAGTATGGACTAAGCCAAGGTATGCTGGGGGAACCTCCAATTCTTTAGGCTCATATTTCCACATAGAGGGACTTCCGCTGAACAACATTGTAGGCTTCTTCTGTGACCTCACTCATATCTCTCCAGGGGAAGAAGAGTGAGTTATCTGGTAAATGAGGGGGCGGAGGGGCAGGGAGGAACTGAGTATTTCTGGTTCAGCAGCATCAATTCCTTCTTCTCCCCTAACTTTTTTGTTGGATCTGGCTACCTGCATAGAGGATACATTCCAGTCTGCTTATATACACAAGCAGATTAAAAGGTCAGAGACAGGCACGTTCAAAGAGAGATGACAGTGTAGGACCATCAAAAGAGGCTGCCTGGAGGAATTCCTTCTGAGCTGAGTCTTCTTCAAGAATCAAGAGATGTTACCAATTAAAAGGCTGAGGTGGTATGCATTCTATCTCTTCCCTTCATAATTTCCAGTGACATTTCTCCTTAATCTTAGTTTTCCCACATAAATAAGTCATTCATTAATAAGGGCATGCTATTTAAGGGCATGCTATTTGGCAGACATTGTGCTGAGGTTTTAAAGATGACCAACTAAGGTACAGGGAAGACATGTAAAGAAACAAATGTAGTAAAACGCTGCTGGTACTGTGATAGAAGTCTGTACAGGGATACAAAGAGAGTAGCCAGTGGGGGAGGGTTAGGAAAGGTTTCCCAGGAGTTGGTGAAGAAAGTTGCTTAAAGGTAAGTGGGTATTAGTCATCCGGGGAGGGTATTCCTGACAGAGGCGACATTACGTGCAAAGGGCCTGAGAAGTAAAACCACTTGGCTTGTGGAAAAAACCACCAGCAGTTTGGCAAGGCTGATGCACAGGGTGGAAGAGGGTGGAAACGCTGGCACGGGCCAGATTTTGTGGGGCTTTGCTTGTCATTCTAAAATTCGAACTCTATCCTGGGGAGCTAATGAGAAGATTGAAGGAGGTGCGTGATATTCATGTGTGCATTTCAGAGAGATTTTTCTGGTGGTTGCGCGAGGCAAATCGGAGAGAGAAGAGGCTCTGTTTCAGTGAGTAGTGTCCGTAGGGCCAGAGAAAAGGGGCCATTGTTTGAGCGAGGTTTAGGAGGTGGAATGACCAGACCAGATCAGACTGGATAAGGAGGAGGGAGGCGCCTAAGTGTTTTGGCTCGAGTGACAGGTGGACATTCGCTTTGTTACTGAGATGAGGAGCCAGGAGGTTGGGCCGTTTGAGGTGTTCAGTGCAGTGGGTATGTTAGAGTTTGAGGAAGCGGTGCCACCCACCAGGAAAGACATGCAGGAAGCTGCAGAAGCCACAGGTGTGGACTTGAAGTTGTTCGGAAAGCGGGTGTCAACTTGGAATGCTTATTTAGAGGCCGTGGCCCCTCTCGGGCCACGACCCTGTCTCCTGCCTGACCAGGACAGTACCTGTAGTGTGCAGGAAACTGCCACCTCAGCAACAGCAGGCCCAGGAGAGCGCTGAGGCCTAGTACCAGCAGCATAGCGGTCACCAAGGAGATCCAGGCTATGGGAGGAAAACAGACTTCGGCTACCTCGGGCCGGAGCCCCACCCCCCGGCTCAGCCATCCCCGCCCTGAGCCCGCCGGTTGTTGACCCGGCTCCGCAAACGTCTGCGCAGCCGCAGACCAGTGCTGTTGGAGCCCTGCTCTCGCTGCGCCGGCGCGCTTCCAGGTGCGCAGCCGCAGAGCGCCTTTGCCCAGATTGAGCCCTCACCTGTCTCAGAGGCGGTCTCTACCCTCACTGGGTCGGACCAGGAGCTCCAGGGACCTTGGTAGGTGGGGCCGTGGAGCCTGGCGCGCAGCTGTAAACGGTAGCGGGAGCGCGGGCGCAGCTCCAAAATCTCTCCCTGGGCTCCTAGAGGTGGCTCCAGCACCTGTGCAGAGGAGAAGCGAGCAGGTGGTCAGGCTGTAGGTGCAAATGAGAGGGCATCGGGTCCCCGAGAGATCAGCATCTGTTGGACCGAATCTCAGCGCATCCCCTCAAATAACCTCACTGACAAAAATCACACATCCGAGCGGAAACTTGGAAGTTAGAACTTGGGTGTTCTGTCTCACCCAACAGAGACAGAACACCTCCCACTGCCTGCAGCCTCGCCCTGCCTGAGGCCTGCCCAACCTGAGAAATTCAGCCTGACACACCGACCTCATCTGCACGGAGAATTACTCATCCTGACACAAATACCTGCAGTATACCCTTACAGAGATGCCGGTGCACACACACTGGCCGGGACACATGCGCATCCTGCCAGAAGCCATGGAAACCCCAGACACACATATTCAGGGCCCTTTTGCAAATCATATGCACTCAGCAGAGGATGCCAGAATTGCACTAGGTGCTGGAAGTACAAGGACAGATTCTAAACAGAAGATGCAAGCATTGTGTGTATAGCAGGGAAACTTTATTAACTTAATCATTTAGCGAGCACTTATGAGCTGCTTGTAATATGCTGAAGCAGGGTCTCTCACATGTCTAATAAGAAAGATACACACAAATAAATAATTACTCAATACAAATAATTGGTGCTATAATAATGATATAAGCAAGGCACCAGGAGCACAAAGCAGCATTTAGTGCAGCCTGAGTTCCTGGGTTGGAGGCCACAAAGCAGTTGGGTGAGCTGAGAGCATGGATAGGCAGGCTGGACGGTCAAAGATGAAGCCAAGGCAGTGGTAGGAGGGATTTGAGGGCTGTTAGTAAAATAAACTCAACCTGATGAATAGGGGGAAGAGACAAGGCAAAAGGAAGAAGAGTCAAGGAGGATTCCAGGCTTGGGTAAGTGGTGGTGCCATCGTCAGAGACAGGGTCCAGAAGAGAAATAGGTTTGAGGAAGAAATACTGTATGGGTCCATTTTATTAAGTTCAACAACAGTCAGACTTATCAGTGGTAATGCCAGAATAGTGGTTGCCTTGGAAGGGATGTGTGTGACTGACGATAGGGGCATGAGGAATTTCTGGGGTGCTAGAAATAACATATTGCGATCTGGGTAATGGTTACATAGGTGTATACACATGTACAAATTAGTCAACGGCATACTCATGATTTGTGAACTTTACTGTAGATGAGCTAAGTTTTGGATGCATAGTAGTCCCTCTTTATCCACAGTCTCTCTTTCCACTGTTTCAGTTACCCACTGTCAACTGTGTTCTCAAATTATTAAATGGAAAATTATGGAAGTAAACAACCTGTAAGTTTTAAATTGCTCGGCATCTGAGTAGCATGTCGTGAGCTCGTGCTGCCCCACTCCATCCCACCCAGGACATGAATTACCCCTTTGTCCTACCTGATGGTCCCTATGTAGCTGTCTCAGTTAACAGATCAATTGTTAAGGTATGGCAATGGTGTTCAAGTAACTCTTAGTTAATTATAGCCCCAAAAGGCAAAAATAGTGATGCTGATAATTTGAATATGCCGAAGAGAAGCCATAAAGTGTGTGTGTGTGTGTGTGTGTGTGTGTACACAGGAAAAAACATAGTACATGAAGGCTTTGCTACTACCCGTGGTTTCAGGCCTCCACTGGGGCTCTTGGAATGTACCTCCCACAGATAAGGGGGGAACTACTGTATGAGTCTGAAATGCTCCTGGAGGTTTTAGGTGGATCTGGTTGGTAAGAAGTTGTATATATTCTGTGTGGTAAATGGGAATAAAAGTAGAGAAAGAAGCTAAGATTAACGAGTGTGTACGTGTGCCTTCTATCTGTCAGGCAGTATGCTAGATATTTATATAATTCATCTCTACTTTAAGTCTGGGAGGTAGAGAGCTTTATTCTCATTTCACCAATGAGGAAACTGGGACTTCAAAGTTTCAGTAATTTGCCCGTGGTGTAGAAGTTCCTTTCCATGTGGTCAGTTTGGGATGGTTAATGTATGGTTGTTAAAACCGTGGAGTTGAGGCACTCACCTAGGGAAAGAGTATGTATTTATCTAGGGGAGAAAAGAGTCTAGGATGGGTCTGTAGGAAGCACAGCATATTAACAAAGGATGGAAAAGGAAGAGCCAGGAAAGGAGAGTGAAAGGGATGGTCAGAGAGGCAGTATGAGAATCAAGACAGACTGATATCCCAGTGGCAAAGGGAAGAGAAACTTTTAAATGAGAGTAGTCAGCAGTATCAATTGCCAAAGGGTGATTAAGGTACCAGTTGAATCAGATAAACACAGATCCACAAATCTAGGCATGGATACACGGACACCCTCACCCCTGACAACAGGCACAGTGAAACTCAGGGATTCCCAGTGTGGCGAGGTCTGTGGGCATGTGTTCTTTGAACTTACCTTCCAGTCCTGGTGGCCTTCTCCTGTGTATCGGAGCTGATAGCAGATCTCTTGGGCCGCCCAGGATGATGGGTGTTGCCATTCCAAAGCCAGCTGCCCGCTGGAGACCTCCCTCCAGTGCAAGTTTGGAGTGGGGATGAGCACTACAGGGATGTCATCAGGGACTGGCATAAGCCCTCTGTGCATGAGACGTCATGCCACCGGGCCCACGGGTCGGAAGTGTCAGAGTTGTTGACTCTGGACAAAGGGTCAGGTGCAGTGGGGGCGGGGGTACTGTGTGACAGGAGCAGGGAAGCAAGTTCTTACCAGCCTGATGGATCCAGAAAGGAGAGCCTAGGTAGCTGTGTAAAGCACCCTGGGCTGTGGTCACCTCCACAAGGATGTGAATAACGCTGTCATTTTGTGACCTGAAGTGGCAGCGGGAGAACTGGGAGGGCTGTAATCCTGGATTTTTCCCTTCCTCTTCACACTTCTCCCAGATGGGGTCCCTAAGAATCAGCCCCACGGAATCACTGAATCAGGCCTGCCGCAGACACTAATCCTGATATTCCCCATCCCACAGGAGCTGTGCCCTGCATGGTCATTAACCTGATTTCTCTCTTGGATGGCCCTTCAGGGCTTTCTGTCTTCTTGACATGTTTTGCTTTCTACAGTTTGCTTTGGTGTCCAGCCTCTTCCTCCTCAGAAAGGAGCTAGATGGCACAAGGAGATAGCACAGGCTGCTGAGTTCAGGTCTTCGCTTGCTGGTGTACAACTCTGGGCAAATTACTTGGTTTAGCTCTGTCCCAGTTTCCTCCATTGTAAAATGGGTTAATAATACCTACTTCACAATTGTTTCAAAGGTTAAAGGGCCTTCATCTTTCTACAGGAAAACTCCTTGTGTTTTAAATCTGTTCTTATACAGCAGCCCTCTCTGTCATCTCTGTTATTTTACCATTAGGTTATTACAACAGTCTCCTAACTGGCTTTTCTGCTTCCGTTTTTGCCATTCCCTTCCATGTGTTCTCTCCACAGCTACCAGAATTTGTTTCCAAAATATTGAGCCGATAACATCCAGAATATATCACAAAGCTGTTCATTTATTTTGACCTTGACCGCTGCCCCGTTAGATGCAACCACCGTTATCTCTTGCCTGGATTAATGTGAATTTCTAACTGGTGATCCTGCTTCAACTCTTCTCTCTTTATAACTTCACGAAGAAACATATCCTTTTAAAATGTAAATTGTATTATGTCACTCTTCTGATTAAAATCCATTAATGGCTACCCATCCCACTCGGAATAAAATCCATACCTGGGCCTTCGGGACTTTATGATTTAGCTCCTTCCGACCCCCTCGCTTTCATGCCTTACATTTCTCACACCAGTTTGCCACCATTCATCCACGCGGGCCTTCTTTCTGTGCTACAGTTGTGCCAGACACACTGTCTTGCACTTTCCTGTGACCTGGACTGCTCTGATTCTAGATTTTCATGTCACTTTCCTTCCTGCTACTGAGGTTTTAGCTCATCTGTCACCTCCTTGGTGAGTCCTTCTCTGACCACTCACTCTAAATGGGCAACCCCACCCTCCCACCGCATTCTCCCACTTAGTTTCTATTGTATAGTCTTGTTTCTTTATTTCTTGTTAGTCGCCCGCTCCATTCCCCATGAAAATGTAAACCCCAACGATGCTGGAACCTTTTCTGTTTTCTTTGTCTCTTCATCCCCAGTGCTTGGCACAGTCACCTTTGACAATGGTTTATTAAACAAATGAAGTGTGTCTCTTTCCAACCCCCAAATGTCTAGTTATTATTAAAATTATTCATCATTTTATGTATTTAATATGCTTACTCATTTATTCATCAAGTAATTGACACTATGCCCCTGGCAGTGGGCTAGGCCCTGTGAATACATAGAAGGAGAACCTTAAAGGCCTCACGTCAGTAGGAAAGGTGGAAAAACAAACAGAAGGTATTTTTCTGTGGAGCACAGGCTGGTTCGGGAGTATCAGGGAGGATGATCTTACCCAGAATGGGAGGGTCAGAGAATACTTCCTGGATGAGGCTGTACTTAAACTGGGTCTTAGACTATAAATAGGATGCTAAGGGCACAGACGGGCATCCAAAGCACATGCTTGGGCCCAGATAAGAGATATGGTGCTTTGGGGGAAATTCTACATGGTGGTGCAGACTGCTTTTAGCACAGAGGGCCTGATGGGGAGTGATAAATGTGGGAGGGCAGACCAGGGTCCTGGATGGCCCTGTGGCCTTTCTAAGGAGCTTGAACTTAATCTTGTAGTAATTATGAAGACATTTAGGATTTTAAACAGGGAATTGTCATAATCGGCTTTGTACTTTAGGAAGATCGCAGTTTCTAGGCAAGGATTTGTGAGGGTGAACTAGGAGAGAGATCCATTAGGACACTGTTACGGTTTTGCACCTGCCAAGTGCAGAGGGTCTGAAAATAGGGTGATGGTGATGGGGGTGGAGGGAAATAGATGGACTCAAGGGATACCAAAGAGGTAGAAATGACAGGCTTTCTGATTGGACCTTGAGGGTGTAGAAGTGGCAGAAGTCCAAGGTGATTTCCAAGGTTCAGGCCTGAAAAGTTGCATGGATGGTAGGATGGAGGAAATAAGAGGAGGAGCAGGTTTCGATAGAGGAAATGATAACTCCAGCTTTGCCACACTTCAGTCATTCAAGGTACCTCGGTACTATGGAAATCTATGCAGTTAGTAAAAAGAACCAGTGGCATTCTTTGTAATCATCTTCAAGACATATTTGTAAGTAAAAAAGTAGTTTAGCAAACCACACACACATGCATGCAGTTTATACTGAAAATTAACTGTCACGTATAGACATATATAAGTGCATAGAAAAACTGGAAGAATAGATTGAAACTGTGAATAATGTTTCGCTTCATTATTGTTCACTGAGCACCCACAACATCCCAGGCACTGTAACAGGGGAGAATACGTCGGTGAGCAGAGATCAGGCATTGGCTTTGCCTTCGTGGATCCTGTATAGTCAGGATCAGCCTTTCCCAACTGGAATTCTGAGAGAAAATGTTATCATCAAAGAGCCACATAAATGAAAATGTACAGTTGTAACTATGATTAAGCCCTTGTATGCGGCACAGCAAGGTTGCATAGTAGTGCTATTGGAAGGTCAGAGGGAACAGGGGTTAGATGCAACCACTGTTATCTCTTGCCTGGATTGATGTGAATTTCTCCCTCGGGGGAGGGTTCGCTGGGGAGGCGACATTGAGTGTAGATCTGAAGGATAAGTAGAAATCGAACATAGATAAGAGAGCTGGGTAAACAGCCTGCACCCAGACCCAGAGGCAGGAGGGAATATGGCAGATAAGAGGGAACCAGAGAAGACTGGTACTGGGGCACAGAGAGCGAAAGGCAGCGCAGTCAACCTGAGGCTGAGGGCCGAGGGGAGGGCTGGGTCTTTTAGAACTTTATTAGGCCACACAGTAGGGTTCTTTATCCTAAGATCAAAGGGAAGCTATCCAAGATTTTGAAGCAGGCAGTGTTATGTTCATTTTCTCACTCTTAAAAGATCACTTCAGCTCCTGCATGGAGAATAATTTAGAGGATTCAGGAGGTGATCAGTTGATAAGTATTCTCAGTCCCCCAAATGAGAGATGATGATGTACTAGATAATGGCAGCGGTAAAAAAAAAAAAATGGACAGCTTCTAGAAATATTTAACAGGTAAGATCAACAAAGCTTGGTTATAGATTGGATATGGTGGAGGTGACAAACTGGTGAGGTGTTTGGTGGAAATTCTTGGAGACCAAGCAAAGTTTTGATGCAATTTGATAGATGGTGGAAAGCTGACAAAGTCTGGGTTTAACAAAGACCTCTGTCAGCAGCATGGGGGATCAGCCGGAGGTGAATGAGCATGTAGGCCGTGGCAGTGGTCCAGGGGACACGATTAACGCTGGAATAAACCAAGGCATTCCCAGTGGTAATAGAGAGAGGTTGAGAAGATAAAACACCTATTGGTGGAGGAGAGCATGGAGGTCACTTGGTTTGGGGACCAGGAGGGGAGTGAAGAGGCCCAAGAGCAAGCTCTCCCTTCTTCCCTCAGGATTGGGCCTCGCTCCCACGACATCTTGCTCAATCAGCAGTTCGTCTCTTACCTGTCTCTGGGACAGCACCACGGCCTGCTGTGATAGAAGAAGCCTTGGGAGCTAGCATGGTCCTGTTGCTGCCACCGACAGGTGACATTCTTCAAGTCCAGGGTAAAGCATTGCAGTCCAATTTCCACTGAATCAGAAAAGGAAGTCCCATCAGGGCCCACATGCTCCTACCCTATAGGGTATCCAGATCATCTTTACCCACCTAACATGGAACCTTTACTCCCGTTCTTTGTTTTTCTCCCTGAACACAGTTCACTTTGTTCAGCGGCAGGTTTGAGGTCATCGGGAAAGACCCTGGTTATCATAGCTTCCATGTCTGGCCTAGGCCTCCCTAGAGATTTTTTTATTTCCCCTTCATCTACCCATTCCTTTACTGTCTCACCTGCATCTCCAGGTAGGTCCACGGTTGCAGGGAGAGACCAGGGTCCCCAGGAGCCATGGAGGGAGACTCCATCGGGTTGGCTGCGCAGCTGGAGCCAGTAGGACTTCCCAGGCTGGAGCCCTGAGATAAGGCAGCTTCCACTCATCACTGTCAGAGGTGGAGCCTCGAGAGAAGAATCACAGCCTCAGATCTAGGTCTGCCTCTTGGCCAACACAGCCTCCATCTCTTATATTTGAAGCCCCACAGCCTGTCTGTAGAGAGATGCTCAGTTCCTTACTGGACAAAGATGCACACAGGTTGGGGATCAGGTCATTGGGTTTTGGGTGTGTTCAGGGGTTTTTAGGGAAATTCCCATCAATTTGGAGGCCCAAAGCTCTCAATTTTGTAAGGTGCGAATGACCCAAAGTGGGAAATCTCTAAACAGACACAGTTCTTGAGGACTAATCAGAGTTTGTACTAACTCCCCAAGGACCAAAGCAGTCTGGAATTCCTAAAATATAGCCTGTCCTTTCTTGGGGCAAAATGAGGCGTAGGAGATAGAAAGTGGAGTTGAAGAAGGCCAGGATACTTCTCTGACTGGGGAGGTCTGCTCTGGTCCGTACTGTTGGGGCATCAGGGGCTGCACACACACAGGCCGGTCCAGAGCCGGGGCTGGGTTCGGCCCCCGCAGCGCTGGGCAGCAGGTTTCTGTGGACAGCAACTGCGTGACTGTGGGGCCCGTGGAGTTCTTGGGGTGCTTGGGGCCGTAGCGGAGTTCGTGCCTCAGGAAATCGCTGATGTCGGGAGCTGGGGCCTTCCAGCTGATCTGAAGTTCCCCTGGTTGCCTCCCGCTCACGATCTTGGTGATATTGGGGGGAGCTGGTAGGCCTGAGGGCAAGATGGGGCACATTGTGGATTGTAGGGAGGAGCGTGTGAGGCCGGATTGGCTCTCTGGGAGAGCAGGGCAGGACAGAGAGGCCCCTTATCCTGTTTTCCTTTTCTCACGAGAACAGTGACCTCATTCCTGGACAGTTAGACTCAGGAGCAAGGATCTGTTTTCATCAAGAGCATGGATCTCTGTATCCTTGTCACCTAGCGCAGGGCCTGGGCCCGTAGCGAGTGTCCCACAACTGTCACACAAGTGTGTGAGTGCCTAGGTTGATGACGGGAGGACCAGGGAGTCTCTGGTGTGAAATGAAGTCTAGCGCTACATGCCACAGCTAGGAAGATTGGTAAGCGCATCCTGAGGTGTCTCTGGGGGTGGCTAGTAATGAGGACATCACGTTGTCCTGAAAGAGCCCCGACCAGGCTGACTCCGCGCTCTGGCCTGGGGGCAGCAGATGGAGGGGCCAGGGTGACAGGGGGGTGGCTCTTACCCACGCTATCCACAAAGAGCACCCGCTGGGTCAGATTCTGGTTCAGAAACACATTCTTCACCCAGAGGTGCAGTGGGAAGAAGAGACGAACTTCATCCTGGGCTGGAAACTGGCACACGTGTCGAGTTCCAAAGGGGGGCACACTCTGGGAACTCAGGGGGCAGGCCCTGGGCTCCTCCCTGTGGGCGCAGGGAAAGTCCATCCTGCCTACCTGGCCACCATCAGCACCCAGGCGGGGCCCAACCCCTACTTCTATTTCCATTGCTGCTTTTTTGTTCCCGGTGCTTGGGATGGGTGAGGTGAGGGGTTCTGCAGGGGCTCGAGCTAGGCCTGGTCAAAGCACATCGCTTCAATAAGTGGCTACTTAGGACATGTACTTGAAGAAATTCTCTTACAGAGTCAGGGGCAGGGAGCGAGGCTCTGCTGAGGTAAGGACAGGACAGACACCGGGGCATGGGCGCAGCCCTGCACGTACCCTGGGTAGGCATACAGCAGCTGGTATGTCCCACTGGGCGCTGCCTCTTCTTCATCCCAGAAGCAAGTGAGGTCCTCAAATGTTCGAGAAAAACAGTTCAGGGGCTTTGAGTCTGAGGCCAGCAAGGAGGCATCTGAGGAACAGCCAGTGAGTTGGGCTCTGGGTCCTTCCAGGCATGTTTATGGGAAAGAGTGGGGGACAAGTGGGAGCCTGCTGACTTGCACCCTCCCGGGGCTCCCTCTTTCTGCCTATAGGTGATCTCCACCCTCCACACACCTCACCTTGGCTGGTGACTTGTGCCAGGTTTTGGGGGGCCGGGAGGAGGCAGGAGGTGACCACCAAGAGAGCCCAGGAGGGCATCTTCTCCGGCACTGTGTGCCTGCCTTTGCCCAGCCTCCCTTCAGGAAGCTGGGCCCCAATCCCCTCCCAGGCCAGCCCCTCAGGTTCCTGTCAGATACAGCCCCACGTCCTGTCCCTGTCCCTGCCCCTCTGGGGCCCATCCAGACCACACTGGGGCCAGGGGCCAGGGGAGGAGCACCAGGGCAGGATGGTAGGAGGAATTTGAAAGAGAGGATGCGGGCCTGTGGGTGGGAGGGAGATGGGAGTTACAGTTTTGACTGTGTACCAGTAGGAGACTAAGCCGCCATGCGTGTCTACTTTGGCTGCTGCAGAAGCGGACGAGAATAGTAACAGTTACCGAGCACTTACTTTGCTATGCAACCACGTTTCAAGTGCTTTGTGTCTATCGACTCAGCTAATCCTCACAATAGTCTATTACTCTGGTTAGAGAGATGAGGAAACCGAGATGCAGAGAAGTTAAAGATTTGCCCCAGTTCACACACCTCCTCGGAGGTGAAGCTCGGGAACCCAAATGCTCAACGACCATGCGATGCTCCTGCAAAGTGCAGTCTGCCAGGCATGGCCATCTGCCTCACAACCAAGACGGAACGGTGGCTGGTTCCACTTCAGTAGGTTCTCCCCAGAGCTTGCCATGCCCCTTCCGTCCTGGGCAGCTCCACGGCTCATTCTTGGCTACTCAAAGTGTGGTCGGTAGACCAGCCGCGAAAGCGTTACCTAGGAGCTTGTCAGAAATGCAGACTCTTTGGCCCTACCCCAGATGGACCAAAACAGAACCTGCATTTTACCGAAGTGCCCAGATGATGTGGATGCATTTTAAAGTTGGAGAAGTGCTGGTCTTTGGTGCTTTCATCTGGTTGGCTCAAAATCATGGGGTGGTTGGTGTCAGCTCTTCCGCAGATGCTCATCTTCACGTTAGCAGCAGAATAGGGCCCCTTGCCCGAAGCCCAGGCCTCCTCCTGGGAGTGCTGTGGCCCTGGGTGGCTCTTCTGCCTACTCTCAGGAGCTTTGACTCTTGCAGGGCATAAGGGGGTGCATGTCACATAAACTCCCACATTTAGCCCTTCTGAACTCAGCTGGAGTTCCCACTGCTGGCTCTACAGATGTCAGTATCCTCAGCATCACTTTTCTCTCTTCCTCCTGAATTAATGTTACTAACAGAATTATGCAGAGGGGAGAGAGAAGGGGGCATGGAGATCCGCCAGCCTTCTTGTGAGGTCTTAGTTTCCCTGGCACCATTTGTCTGTCGGAGGTCCCTCAGCCAGGTTTGTCCTGAGTCCTGTCCAGCTCTCAGGTCCAAGGACCAGCTTCCTTTGCCCAGTGGGATGACTCTGTGTGCTTCTCCCAGCCCCCAGCCAAGGCCACCCGACCTCCGTCAGGTCAAGTGAAAGGGGAAACAGAGCTTTGATGTCCGTAGAGGCCCATTGCCTTGAGGCTCTATATATACACAAAATTAATATCTCTAACTCCCCTCCAGCCTCCAAATTTGGACTGCCAACTGCCTTCTTGGCTTCTCCACTTGTATGTCCAATGGCCATCTAATTCCTGAGTTGGCCAGAACAGAACTCTGGATTCTGCTTCCCACCCCTGGACCTGTTTTATTTCCTCTAGTCTTATCTATGTCTGTAAATGGTACCACTATCTACTCAGCTGATCAAACCAAAAACCTCAATAATCTTTGATTTCTATTTTTCTCTTATCTTGTATTCTATCAGGTATCTTTTATTTTTTTTCTTTAGCACCCAGATAGCTTTTTTTAGAGGATTTATTTATTTATTTATTTATTTATTTATTTATTTATTTATTTATTTATTTATAGGGAGAGTAGAAGGCAGGGAGAGAGGGCTGTGCAAGAGAAACATCTGTCTGTTGTCTCCCGTTCACTCCCTACCGGGGACCTGGTCCACAGCCCAGACATGTTCCCTGCCCGGGAATTAAACCAGCAACTTTTGTTTTGCAGGCCAGTGCTCAATCCACTGAGCCACACCAGCCAGGGCAAGATATCTTTTTAACATGTACCCCGAATCTGAACATGTTTTACCACCTCTGCTCCTGCCAGCCCAGCCCACACCTGGGGCACTCAATAGCTGTTCCCCAACTGCCTCCACTCTTACCCCCTCCAGTTTACCCTCCACATAATGCAGGGATACATTTGAACTGCAAAGCATACTTCTTTGCTCCCCTGGGAAATTCCTCTAATAATTTCCTACTGCACTTAGAATGACATCCAAATGCCTCCTAATGGCACACAAGGTCCTGCCTGGCCTAGCCCCTGCCTGTGTAAGTCTCATCTCCTACCACTGTCTTCTTCACTCTGGATCAGACACAATAACCTCATTGTGTTTCTCATCCCAATCCTTATCATGCTGGACTTCTCTGCAACATTTGATATTCTTCTTCTTCTTTGTGTTCTACAATGTATCACATCCTCCTGGTTCCTCCTACTCCTGTAACAGTCCCCCCACCCCCAGTTTCTTTCTTTGCGCTTTCTCTTAATTGTTGCTGTTCCCCAGGGGTTCTTTCTTTGCCCTTTATATTCCCTGAATGATCTCGGCTTTAATTTCATCTGTACAGCAGTAACTTCATCACTCCCTTGAAATTAGAAGTCTAAAGTGACTTCTTAGCCATCTCTATTTGTTGTCCCATAGGCACTTCACCAAGTCCCAGAAAGAACTATGACTAACTCTACTACGCCCTTTCGTATCTTCTGTGTTCGCATCTCACTGCAGACTGTCTGGGCATTCAAGTCTGAAACCTGAATTATTCTCAACTCTTCATTCTTCCTCCACCCCTGCACCCAAGCATCCAAGTCTTAGAAGGTCTGTGACTAGTAGTGCAGGGCTCACAAGACAAGTGGCTTGTCTGTGACTGTCAGAGCGTTGAGATGAAGGCTTTCTGCTCCTGCATGGAGGAGGTCCAGCTGCCGGTCCTTGTCATTTTCCCCATTTTTCTCTGCTTCCACACAGCTAGAAAGAGGCACCTCCCCCCAATTCTTTCCTTCTTTGAAATCTAAAGTAGGACCTGGAATAGCCCCAGGGAGACCACTTAGGTCTGTCTACCCTTTAGACAAAGAGCCCAGTAGGCTTCTAAAGTGCAGCCCGAATTAGCAGGCCTAGGCTTTTCTGTTGGCACAGAAGGTGTAAGTCCTGGCTTATTAAAGCCCCTCTCTGGTCTCTGTGCAGCCACTGCTGAGAGAACCTGAGGGGCTGCTGGTTGAGGACTGGCTCAGGCAGAAAGTTGAGCACTGTTAAACTACTCTCTCCAGGGCCAGGGGCAGGGGAAGTCTTGTTCCGTAGCATTTGCTGGTTTTTGTGATGTGAACTATGGCCAATTTCAACCCACTAACATGATGATACTGAAAGTGACTTGGAAAGGGATTGGCTTTCCTAAGCCCATGCTTGCGCTTTTGCCCACTGTCTCTCCATTTTCCCAGATTTCCAACACCAGTGTTGCTATCCAGTCAGAAAGTCCGAGATACGTGTGTCCAGGCACTTGGAGTCTCGGTCCCCCATCTCTTCCCCAGCATTGCCAAACTGCTCTCCAAAATGGTTGTTCCATTTGCACCTCCAGCAGTGTGTTAGAGCACTGCCCTCCCCCACTCCTTTATCCGTGTTGTTTCAGGTTTGCCATTCCCATAGTCAACAGATGGTATCTCCTTACTCAGTGCTTCTTCTGCAGCTTCAATTGGCTTTTATTTCCCTGCTTAAAATCCTTCATGGGTCCGAATGATCCTTTGGGCCAAGACTCCTGAGGCTAGATGGAACACAGCCCTTTGACCTTTCACCTTCCAGTTCTAGAGTCTCTCCCTCCCTATGACTCAAGCCCCACCTCCCTCCTGCTCAGCACCTCCTTCCCTCCCCCTCTCCCCCAGGCACAGAGCCCTCCCACCTCTTAGTCTGCTGGAACTTTCTTTGTGATTCAAGATCTGTCCCCAACTCACTACTTCTTGGGGAGTCTTTCCTTATCTCCCAACTATATGTAACGGGGGAAAAGGCTAAATTAAAAACAGAAATGCAATTTCACATTCCTTTCAGAGGCCTCAGTAGGTCTTTTGTGGTCAGAAACAAGTTGGTGAGCCAGTGGGCGTGACCTTGATAGGAAGGCATTAGAGAGCGGAATAGGAAATTGATGGGAATTTCAGCCTGTTCCCTGCTAACTCCCCAGAGAAAGGCGGAGGGCCAGTAAGTAACAGCAGCAACTGGAGGAGAAGAAAGCTTCACCAGAGAGACATTCCAATGGAAGGACTGTCAGAGGAAATTTTTATTTTATTTTTAGATTCCATTTATTTATTTTTAGAGAAAAGGGTAGGGAGGGAGGAAGAGAGGGAGAGAAACATCAATGTGTGAGAGTTCACATGCCTCCAACCGGGGTCCTGGCCGGAGACCCAGGCACGTGCTCTGACTGGGAATCAAACCAGCAACCTTTTGGTTTGTAGGCCAGTGCTCAGTCTACTGAGCCACACCAGCCAGGGTTGTTAGAGGAAAATTTTAGAACAGTAATGCCTAATGCTCTGTTTTAAGTTTACACCCTATTCTGTGGATGCTTAGCTTCTTTATAGCACCCTAGACGCTCAGTGAAAGCGTCTTACACACAAAACTTGATACCGTGGTGGTTTGGGAACCAAGGGAGAAATACCTGTTCTGATCCCTGTGGAGTTGACAGAGGATGGCAGCCATGGAAAGTGAGCACCCCAGTGATCAAGAATTGAGCAAAGCAGGGATGTGATCGAAAGGTGATCGTGCAGGTGTGACGCCTTGCAGAGAGAGTGCTAGTGAAAACTGGAGGGTGTGGGCTTCCCTGAGAAGGTGGGACAGGGACTGAGCTGTTCTAATGGAATATAAACGGAAAGGTTACACCGAGGGGCTGGCTGCCTTGAGGACATTCGGGTTGCAAACATGCAATGTGTTCCTCCTCTGAGCCCCGCCCCCCCCAATTTTGTGCCTCTGTTGGGGTACTTTCATACATAAGGAGCCATGCTATTTTTCCACTTTAGCTAGACAAAAT